GCTCAGAAAATAAACTCACTTCTCCACTGAAAATTCACCACCCTCAGGCTTCTCGCCAGAGTCGCCAGCAGGCCTCTCGAAGCGGCGAGGTGGCCGCCTGTCCGCTGGCCGTCTGTCTGTTGCGGGGCGTCCTTCTCCCTGGCCGCCCTGGGGTCTGGACCCCTCACCCTCCGGCTTCCGGCCCATCCTCCTCATTCCAGCACCTAGGATTGACCACAACAGGAGGATCAGATGACCATTAGCAGTGAAAGTGACAGATTGGGACCAAATGTCGAGTGTGATAAAAGACAAAGAAGATGTGTTTGTTGTGTTTAAGTGGAGCAAATAATTCCAATTAACATGCAAAGGAAGTTGACCTACTTTTGTTTTCTAACCTGGAAAGCCATCTGATAACTTAATCACTCGTTACTCCTTCCTTTCACAGGCCAGCCATGTGAATTAACACCTACACAGTGTTTAACCCTGTATGGCCCATCTAACTGCCACTGACCCAGTGTGACACAACACCACCCACCCATTGCTTAACTCACCAGCTACCAAAATAGACATCCACCACTACACAGGAGCAGCTGGTTGCACCATAGTCAGCGCACCTGTCTCATCTTCTCTCTTGCAAACAGATATGAGCCTACTTGGCAGCCTGAAGTGAAGATAATGGCAAACTAACCTCCTGGAACTAGGTCAAATCCTGACGCTGGAAAATTTAAGACAAACAAGTTGTAAAACAAAAATATATTGAATGACTTGTTAACTATACATGATGTTATATATGACAATTAAATATCTGGGGGAAAATGGAAACCGGAGATACAAGCGCTGTGAATGTACGTCGACCGCGTGCATCGCGGCTGCATTATGTGCCAATGGGAAGTGGCGGGTTAAGAGCCTGTGCTTTAACACGCCCCACACTACAACCACGAGGTTCATCCGCGCGAGAGCAGTGCAGGCTCCGAGGTCCAATCCACCTGCCGATCCGCCACGAGCGTACACATGTACTCATATTACGTTACTTCAATCATTGCACGTGCTAAACTTCCTTCTCCTTAAAGCGCCTGCCATTAATATACAGAAAGATATTTTTCTTTTATTTTTAAAATAATTAACTGCTTCCTAAAAACTGCTTTCTGGGTCAGCTCAGCCACAAGTGGGGGTCTCTGGAAGCCCATCGTGGCAAGCATAAACGTATAAACCCGGAGATACACCCCCGGCCAGTCAGGCTTTCAGGTTCTACCCGCTCAACAAGGCCCACTGGAGGGGGGAGGGCAAGCCAAAACACGTCGGGCAGCAAATTTTTTAAGCCCAACGGATCCCACTGCAGAACACGTTTGTTTAAATGTCATTGTTCGGGTAAATGACAGCCAGCAGGGGCACACAACAGCCATGTGGACCGCATGTCACGGGGAGGGTGGCTTGTGAACCATTGCTAGCTAGTAATCAAGCAGCTTAGCCTGTTAGCTCAATGTTAAGCATCTGCTTTAACTGTGCGAGACATGAAACGTGAAAATTATATTTTACCATCTTTCTTGAGCGGGACGGCCTGGGTCTCCTCCTTCTTATCGGTCAAGGGGGTCTTTCTCTCTTTCTGAGACTCCTTTTTAGGCTGCTTAGCAGCCTGGGCTGCAGTCTTGGCGGCACCAGGGGCAGAAGCCTCCTTCTTCTTCTTTACTTCGGCTTGCTTCAGCAGCTCAAACGGATCCGACTCGTCGTCAAATAACTGGTCGAACCGATTGGTTATGGCACAGCCAAAACCTTCTTGCATTTGTCCGGGCATGATGGCGCCCCTTCAGCAGGATTTTCCTCCGATTCTACGAGGCTTGGTGCGAGCACTTCGCTAGGTGAAGCCACAAGATGGCTGGGAAAGGACCGTCTTCTCTTCCGGCGCGATAGACATCCGGGACCTCTGGGTTGGCGCGGGTGGGGTGTGTAGTTTCTTTGGACGATCAAATCACTAGACTGGGTTACTGATAGGCAATTGAAGAAACTCGTTTACCCACAATGCAAGAGGGGCTAGTGTTGCTATCCGGTGTAGTCTGTAAAATAAAGCATGAGTGCCCTCATTTACACTGCGTGCTCTTGTTTTGACTTTTCAGAAATGTCCCCAGTCCTCGAAACTGTCTTGAAAAGCACTGCAGACTGGTTTCCACACTAATGAGGGCCCAAATATTTGGTCAGGCTTATTATATATTGCCTCACATATCTCGAAGGGAAACAGCAGGTGCTCCTCTTAATAGAGGCACTATAGTTTTGTTGGAAAACAAAAGGAAGTGGTCAAAGATTTCACTTAAATTGTTAAAGTTTAAGTTTACGGTAGAGTTAATATACAGAGTATAGGTATGTTAGTACAGCTCAGAACAAGCATTCGCACAATATCGGGGCCTAGCCCCCATTTAAAGCTGGCAAGTAGCCTACTGCAAGTATAAACAGCACTTCACATTTGTATTTAGAGATAGCTTTATCAGCACTGCCTGATGTAGGTGAGGAAACCTGCAAACAGTGCTATACAAAAATGCATTGTGGTGGTTTAAGACTGTAACACAGGGCTACAATTAAAAATTATTTTTCTGCTTCCTGATCACTTATTTTTTTGCGTATCTGTCACACTTGCATGTTTCAGATCATCAAAAAAAAAATTTTACACAAACATAACACAAGTGAATATAAAAATCAGTTTAAAATGATGTTTTATTGTATTAGTCTAAGAAAGCTATGCAAATAAACCTGGTCCTGTGTGAAAAGGTAATTACCCCCTGGACCTAATAGCTGGTTGTGCCACCCTTTGCAGCAAGAACCAAAATCAAGCGCTTGTGATAACTGGCAATAAGTGTTTCAGAACGCTGTGGAGGACATGTGGCCCAACCCTCTTTGCAAAATTGTTTCGATTCAGTCACATCGGAGGGTTTTCAGGCATAAATGGCCTGACCTTATGTGTATGTTCTTTAAGGTCATGGCAAAACAAAATGCAATCAGATTTAAGTCCAGATTTTGACAAAACCTTCATTTTGTTCTTGTTTAGTTGAGCTATTCAAGTAGTATATTTGCTAATGGTTTTCAGATTGTTCTGCTGCATAACCCAAATGTTCTTGAGCTTCAGAACATAAACTGATGGTCAGACATTCTCCCTTAAGACTGTTTGGTAGAGAGCAGCATTTATGATTCCATCAGTTAGGACAAGTGATCCAGGTCCAGAAGCAGGAAAGTTGCTCCAGACCATCACACTACCACCACCATATTTGACTCTTGAAATCTTGGAGATCACTGAAATGTTTTTGACATTGAGAAGGAAAAGTGGGAAGGAAAAGCTCAATTTTAAAAGTAATCACTGTTCCAAGTTGTATCCATTTATGGAAAATGGGTCCCTTTGTGGTTTGTTGGAGTCTCAAAGACATAGAGATGGTTTTCCAAGACTTTCAAGACTGATAGATGTCAGTGACTTTGTTTCTCAGCTGCTCCTGAGTTTCTTTAATTTGTGGTATGTTGTGCTGTTTTTTGAAATCTTTTAGCCTACTTCGCTTTGTCTGCTTGGGTGTGGTTGGTGAAAATGAACTCAGCTTTACAAAAAATGTGGTTAAAGAAAGTTAGTTCATGATTTAACAAGGAGACTAATTAATTTTTCACATGGGCGCAGGAATGTTTGGATAACCCTTAATAAATGAAATGATCATTTAAAAACAGCATTTTGTATTCACTGAGATTATCTTTGTCTAATATTAAAATGCATTTGATGATCTGCAACATTTTTGTGACATTTTCTTTTAATCAGCAGCTGTTCCACAGCACAGAATGAGTTATTTTCACCACCATGTTTCTGGTTCTGATATATTGTATTTGTTTACTTGGAAATTGAGAAACGGACACATTAATAAGGAGACAGTGAGTAGTTGAGCATCATGCATCATCAAGAAAATGAAAACATTTAGAGTTTTAGTATGATGTAAGACTAAACACATGCACCAGTCTCAGTCTTATTTAATGTGTTGCTGGGATTAAATTAAAAATAACAACCTATACCTTAAAAAATATTCTCCAGTTTCAACATTTAATATGTTGTCTTGTCTGTAATATTTTCATTAAACAAACACGTTATAAATGATCTCTAAATTCCTGCACTTTTATGTGCATTTATATTTTGCAGTGCCACGTGGTAGTTGGAAACTTGGTTGTGCTTCATGTATGATTATATATATATATATATATATATATATATATATATATATATATATATATATATATATATATATATATATATATATATATATATATACACCCTGTAGCCAATAAGCAAATATTAAATAGGCATATGTAATACTGTGAGTGGCTGAAAAGACAACCGAACACAAAGCAAGACCACACATTAAACAGAAGCTTGATGTTTTGTTGCTGGTTCTCCTCGGTAGTCTTAAAAAAACAAAAAAACAGTAACTGTTTATATCGAAATTTTGAGAATCTTAAAAACTCCCATAATAGTCGACTTTAAATCGTCCGGGAATTTTTTTTCTTCCTATATCTGTCTCGCGTTTCTGAGTGGTGCAGCTCGAACGGTGATGCCACTTTTGCTGACTTCCCCCTCGCGACCAGACTTTCGGTAGTCCGTTCAGTAACTCCTGCATATGCGCAAAATGACGTCCGCAGTCACCAAAGCTATGATAGAGTCCTACGCGCTCATGATTATGGTCATGGGCACGTTTTTCATCTATTTCTGCGGGATGGTTTGGGCTTTTTGCAATCCGAAACTGAGCGGAGCAGAGGAGGAGTGCGAGACTGGAGACCAAACAATGGAACACGGAGATGGCTGCTGGGTTTCTGCCCCAGATCCTCCGGAGAGGTATTTCGAGAGCGCTTGTGCGCACCTGCCGGCACCTCCGTACACCGCCGAGAGGCTCACACGAAGTACCTATATCAACTTTTGGGAAGACACAGATAGTCTGCTGTCAGACTGCACTGCGTTTTGCCGTGAGGACCATGGGATTAACAACCAGATTGGAGAAAGTGGAGAAAATGCATAGTGGTGATCACATTTATTTCTGTGTATTTAGACTCCAAAACTGTGTTAGTAGCTGTGTTAGTAGGTTCTGATAATTTGTTAAGTCTCTGAATAAGAATTAGTGCAACAGGCAGTGCTTATTTGTATTGTTAGATGAAAATGTGTGCTGTCACAACATGCACCACACTCATCAGTTCCCACTTAAAATTCAGCCTTGCAGGTTGCTGTGACAGGTAGAGGTGTGTTATTTTTCTGACAGCCAGAGCACATAATCCTCCTAGGAGACCTGTGAGACGGGAATAAAATGTTTTCCATCCAGAACTGGGTGATCTGCATCAAGATGATCCTGCAGGATTTGGGGGATCACAGTGGGCTTTCCTTTTGTTCGTCCTTCAGTTTCTTCCTTACTTCTCTTTCTAGCTGCAGTAATTTCTCATACAAAGACTCCGATGTCTCCAAGTCAATGTCCATCTGTGAAGAGACACAGAAGACATATGTGGAACTACATTACAGACTGTTTTGACTCAACATTAGTTTTTAATGTAAATTTTTACCCGCCGTACCTTACGGGGCTGTGTGTAGTTGTTCCCTAGCCCAGATGTTAAGCTGTGATACTTTGCATATGGGTCCAGCGATTCAGGCTTTTGTTTAAATAACCAAAACTGAAAATAAGAACAGAATTGAGAACATGAATTTCACCTGAACTGTGTGTTGGAAGTGTGAATTTCTGTTTTACTTACCAGAACTTCAGCTCCATTATAAGGTGTCAATGTGAAAGTGTTTGTGAACATTCTTATCTGTGAGTTTGAAAGAAATACACATCTCAGATAGAGCCAAACACCCAACTATGCATTTGTAACAACTGTGTCACTCACAAGCCAGAAGATAGGCGTAAACAGTGTCCAGAGGAATGCTGGGAAGGAGGGCAGGATGTTGTAGGTCAGATTGGTCATCACAAAACCAGGACAAATCACAGATGAGTACAAACCCTAAAAAAATAATGAGCACCAGGGTCACTTTCATCAAAATATTAGGAGCTTAAAAAAAGAAATGCAATTTCTGGTGTGAGTCAGTCATGGCATGTGAGGTGCATGAGCTGACCTGTTTATTGTAGTGTGTGTTGAGTGTGAGGCTGAGCAGGTCAGAGGCATATTTGGAAGAGCTGTAAGGCTGAGTGCCTTTTTTATGTTGAATGTCTTCGAGACTAAAGGCCGAACGATGAGCATTACTAGAGGAGGTCCAGACCAGCTGGGAGGTCCGGCCTGCACGGCACAGCATTGGCTCCAGCTCCCTGACCTTTATCATTAAAAGCAGGACACAAAATCACAGAAAGATAAAATTAAAACTTGCACTGCAGTTTGTCCAAAAAAGAAGCTAAACCCAAGGTAACTGGGTGAACTGTGTGAGAACAGATGAGATTACTGCATGGACTTAAACACATCTGTATATTAAACTGGATGCTTATGCAGCAATCTGACATAACACTAAAACCAGCTGATATTATATAAGTAACCAAATTAACTTTAACAAAATAGTATGGGCAGTGGAACCTAGGGTCCAGTGGGCTGTAGGGTTGACTGGGCTTGTTCTAGTTATTGATCTTGAAGGCCTTGGACTCTGTTCTTTTAAGCATTCGAAAGCAGTTTTGGGGGTTTGACAATGTGCACAGTCCTACAGTTGAAGGCCAGTTCTGTTTTGGGTGTCATTACTGTCTCTGTTTGGTCTACAAAAACATTTCTATGGGAGGAATGTGCCAAACTAATCTCCACATAAATGCCAGTGCCGAATCAGCCTTATTCTCTTTGCCTGGCAGTGGTTTTAATGTTGTGGCTAATCTATGTAGATTTTAAAGAAACTGAATGAGCATTTTAAGAAGATTCCACCAAAACTGTTCACTCTCACTAAAAGTGAGAGTGAACAGTTTTCTTAAGCGCACTGAAGACTGTTTTATAATTGCTGAAAGTTTAAACAAGAACTTTGAAAAGGTTACTTTGATGGCAGCCCCAATTTAGCCGAAAATGCAAAGTGAGCAGAATATTACCTGCTGTGACCTTATGGCTAGAGCAGTACGTGCTGTTAATTTTTAATGAGCATAGTTGCTAAGTGACAGACAGATCCAGTATCACCTATATTTGTTTCATCAAGGACAACCGACCAGCAATTAGTCTTCCTTCAGAAAACTATGACAAAGCACATCTCAGTACAATATTTTATGAGCAGATCTGTCTAAAATATGAAGATTATTCAGACACCAAATTACAAAAGTGACTCACAAAAAGAAAGTGACCAAAGAGATTTGTCATAAAAACTTCCTGGAGGCCATCAGGGGTAACACCATCCTGCTGTGTCAGAATGCCCTCACCGGTGGCAAACATTGTGATGACATTTCTGCAATACAGGTTTATAGAAATTTGAGGCAAAAGAAATGCAGCATGGGACACAGTTGAAGATGATGAAATATAAAGAAACTGTGATGCACTGTAGATAAAATTGAGGATTCAGGCACATCTAGAGTTACTAGTTTACCTGGAAAAGAGGCCTTTGAAAAAGGCATTTACATCAAACCGTGGATTTGGCATGATTCCTGCATTCAGGTAAAGGTAGTCCAGCCGGTCGTACCTGCAGATAACAAACAATGGTTGTCTATAGCACATAAAGAACTATCAGCATAACTGGTGATCAGTGATGATTTATCAAGTACAGATTTGATTTCTGTGTTTCTGAGTCAATCTTCCCACCTCTTTTTGACCTCCTGTGCAGCACTAATGACGGAGGAGATGCTGCTGGTGTCCACCTGCAGCAGGGCCACCTGGGCTTTGGGGTGAGAGGTGAGGAGAGCTGAGTGAGCAGCTTCAGCCCTGCGCATGTTCCTGCAGGCCAGACAAAGCTGGAGACCCTCTGTGTCCACTGAAAGGAGACGCTCACACAGTGCCAGGCCAATGCCACTGCAGGGAAATCCATATTACTATTACTACTAGTATTTACTACTACTACTACTACTACTACTTACAACAATAATTTACTACAGTATTACTGTTTAATACTGTGGATTAAATTCACTGCAAAAATGACATTTAGTCAAACATTTTTGTAATATAACTAGTAGTAAGTTCACTGAACATATAAAGTTTCCTGATTTGAAGGTTATCATTTAAAAAACAAAAACAGTGATTACCTATTGGCTCCTGTTACCAAAATCACCTTATTCATCCTGTTAACTTCAAACTGCCAATATAGAAAACTACATTTGCTGCCAAATGTTCTTTTAAGTCAGTTGATCCGTGCAAAGTCCTAAGAATGATTTCCTGATCTGTGAAGTAACAGTTTTCGCCCCACCTCTGAGTTCTGATTGGATGCTGTAGCAGCACTCCGCCAATAAGATCCACATGGTTGTCAGCTGATCATCTTTAGGGACAGCCCACTCAGACACAGCATGAAATATTCAGCTCTGTTCATGAATAAGACAAAAGCTCTCAAACAGATTCAATTTCCAGTTTAATTTTTATTTAATGAACAACTTTTGCTTACAGAAATATATAAAATATTCTCACTTAAACATTTGAGTACAAAGATGAAATGAATCTCAACATATTAGGACTTCATCTGCCTGCACTGAGCTGATGGAGAATGCCATGAAATGCTTTCTTTGTCTTGTGAGAACATCTGCAAGCTTCACAAATGTATCTTTAAACCAAATATCAGATTTAATTTGTAGAATGTCTTTGCCCAGATAGGGATAAGTTGAAAGGGCAATGATCTGAGCTTTCTCTTGATTTACAAAGAGGGACAAAGACCTGCAAAAGCAAAGCCTGTAAACACAGTTAAACTATCTGAAAGTCAGCACAGACGTGGACAAACAAACAAATCGAAGAGGAAATAATACAGAAGAAAAAGCCAACTGCAGAAAGCTAAACCTGTAGATGACTCATCAGATATTTATTTTTCATTTGCTTGTATAAACTACAGTGAAAGCGTTCACTCATAGGCATCTTATGGTTCTTGTCAAACACACCATTTAGGATGAATACCTACATTTAATCTGCTTTCAAAAAAAGACTTATTTTCTCTGTCATTTGTTCAACATCCACAGCACTCTCAGTAACATCTTTCCAATGACACTGACTGTAAACACATACTGTTGAACCCACGCGGCCTGGATTGCTGATAAGCATCTTCCAATATCTCATCGATTATCAATCACAATGGTTTAGAGCTTAGTGTATGATCAACTCAACAGTTTGCAGCAGGATAAAAGATAACGTAGAAATCCAAAATGTAACCTAGAGAATTATTGCATTGCATCAAATACAATACTCCAAATAAAGAGCATATTAATGCACAAACAAAACCAACAGAACAAACACATATTAACATATAAATACTAATACAAAATATTGATATTTGAGATTTAGAATTATCTGTTTAAAATACAGAGTCATATACATTTAATGTTGAAACCACGTCAAGGAGATGTAAAAGATGGTATTTCCTTGTTATTCTCGTCAATCTAAATGTGTGGTGATTAGATACTTGAGATAAGATGAACTGTAACAGTGATGGTTTTTCTGGACTTTCCTCCTCTACATTCAAGCAGTCTTCCAAGAGAAAACACTAGAGAGTTCAGTTGCATTAGTTTTGTTGTCAATATGAAAATTGCTGTAACATAGGAAATTTAAACCAACATTAACAAATGCAATTAAAATATATTTTCAAAAGTGCCAAATGTCACTTGCTACATTAAATTAGGCTTCATCGACATGAGTCAGAGCCTTAGGTCATGTTCTTAAGCATGTTTGAAGAATAGCGTAGTATAAAACAGCACTGTTTTTTTGAGGAATATTTGTATGCATATAAAACATCTTAGCCAACTTGTTTTTGCTAATAACTGACACACACTCACTCTTTTGGGTAGTACATAGTGCCCCCAACCCTGTTACTCTACAGAGACAAGCTTAAACCTGGATAATGTCTGCTGTTATTGCCATATTTTCATTTACTTCCAGAGATGAGCAGACTGGAAATCACTGTCTTTAACACTGCACTGGCTTAAGATTGTATTTCCAAGATGGCCCTGTGTATCTCCTGGAAGGACGGCCGTTCTTTTGCATTCCTCCTCCAGCAGCTCAGCATAATCTTGTAGAGCGAGTCCGGGCACAACACAGGTTGAGGCAGGTAGATCTGCACAATATGGATGAGATATTAACTCAGGGAATCAAAAGAGTTTACTGTTTTAGCACTTTAGACTGTTTAGCTGTTTCCTTTAATTGAAAAATACAATTTATTAAATAACTTACACTTTGGGTTCAGAGCAAACACATTCACTTCAATGGCTGTAATAATGGAACTAATAGAAGTTTATGGCTAACAAGAAATACACTGTGGAGGTGTTGATTGACACTGGCAAATAAAAAAATGAAGTCAAATTTATGAAATTAGAAAGAATTGTATCAAACTAGATTTTCAGCTGTGATTTTTAGACTAGTGGCTCCATTAGCTCACGAGGAGACACAAATCCATAGAAGGATTGTGTCAGGAGGCATCTGGTGTAAAAAAAATATGCTAAATCGAATATATAGATCGATTTGCTGTAGCTACCTTTTGTGAATAAGAGAGAACAACATTTTGTTAGAAGGCTCATTAAAACAATATGGAAATAAATATCTGAAACCAAACTAAATATATCTCATATCAAAACTAGTACATTTACATCATCATTCCCTAATATCTCCATAAATGACCTACTGTGTGAAGGTATGGGTATGTAGTACTTGGTGTTTGTTTGGTGAAATCCAGTGAGAAATTTATTTTCCTTTAGAATAGGATAAAGCTTCTGCTAACTCCTTTTCATTCATTCATTTGTGTTTTTCCCATTTTAATTGAATTCTTTGTCGTAAAACAGTTTGTTTAATTTCTTATTTTTTTGTTTTGTTCAAAAATGCTGATAATAACTACATTTTTCTTATTTAAAAAGAAACAATGACAAAATGCTTCTGGCAGCCCTCACCTGTCGTTTCTGGTCCCTGAAAAACTCTCCCGTGTTTTCTATCACCTGCTCATCAGTGAGCTGAGAGTAGGGCTGTTCCTTGCAGAAGTTTAGTATCTCCCACAGGGTCACCCCGAAGGCCCAAACATCGCTGGCTGTGGTGAACTTCCCCTGCAAAGCAGAAGATTGCAAACATGTTTTTTTTCTACTTTTTAATAATCACTGTACAAATAACAGCATTTAAACTGATAATGTTTACTAATCAGTAATTGACTTGAAAGCTATCTGCTATCTGTTTTACAAGTAGACAAATAAATAGAGCATTAGACAGATAAGTAGACAGATGAGGTGTTGGTGACGTAAATCACACGATTGTTGTTTCAGCTGAAATTGGCAACACTGATGAGTAACAATCACAATAACATGTATCAACAAATACTAAATTTTTGTTTCAGTGTCAGTAGAAAAAAATAATATAGTATATCATGTCTATAAAACATTTTATACATAATGTCATAAAAATAACCGACAATCTATGGTATATGAATTATCATATAATTGTTTTCTTTTATACTAAATTAAGTATTTACTAAAGTTTAATTAGATATCAATTTACAATTTATCAGTAACGGTTGAATAAAGTGATGTTTTTGCAGGAAGTCCTCACCAGCAGGATGCTTTCCCATGACATCCAGCGTATAGGCAGCACTGCCCGGCCCTGGATGCGATAGTAGTCCCCACTGTACAGGTTTCTGCTCATGCCAAAGTCAGCTATCTTTATTGTGTACTTTTTGCCCACCAGACAGTTTCGTGTGGCCAAGTCTCGATGAACAAAGTTAAGTGAGGATAGGTACTTCATCCCCGAGGCTATCTGAGTGGCCATGTAGCAGAGATTACTGAAGCTGGGGAGGAGAGAGAATAAATATTCATATAATTTGCTTGAAAATCATGTTTACATGTGTTTGCATATATTAGCCCCCTTCCTACCTCACAGTAGGTGCATTGCTAAGCAGAGCAAGATGTCCCTCTGGTTCGTGGCGGGACAAGAACTGGTTGAGATCTCCGTTCTCCATGTACTCTGTGATCATGCAGAAAGGGTCGCTGTGGATGCACACAGCTAAGAGGCGAATGATGTTGGGGTCCTTCAAACGTGACATGATCTTTATTTCTTTAAGGAAGTCATTCCTTCCAATGGAAAACAATTTGCAAGTTAAAGGTGAGAAAAATAAAAACTTCACATGTACGCTTGCAATTTCATTTCATTTAAAGGGTACAAGAAGCACCGGCACACCTGGCATTTTTATTGGCATCTGAACGGAGCATCTTCACAGCCACCAAGACGGGCTCATCTTCTGTGATGTCAAACAAAAACTCTTTATTCATAAACTCCTGCATTCCTTCTGCCTCACACAGGTGGACCTAGAAGAGAAACAGGGAGCGGGGAGAGTGCGATTCAAAACGTGACTTGTGTTTTATCTTATGCAAAGCTGTAACCAAAGCTGTAACCTGCACCTCTCCAAACTGGCCTTCTCCAAGCTTCTCTTTAAATGTGAGCAGTTTTCGTGGGAACTCCTCCACAGCAACATCCTTCCCTGACAACAGGTCCATAGTTACTGCAGGGATGGCATAGGTGTTGCTTCCAGTTACACCTTGTAGGTTTACAACATCTGCCTCTGCGTAGTGAGGGACGCCATCTTGGACTGCAAAAGAGGCAGTGGATTTAGAAGCAGAAGTGCTGGTCGAACCTGAAATGCAACATGGTAACTATAAATCACTGCAAATGAATAAAAATACATTTGAATTTGTAAGTACCCGTGTTTGCCTGCTTACTGGGCTCTTCTGTTCTCTGTGAAAACTCCGGCAGCTTACTTATGAGGCGCGAAGGTTCCTGGTAGTCTGGACCGAGAGGAAAGATGTGCTCATAGGTGGAATTAGACTCCTGTGCATTGGTTGTATTCGACTGGTTGTGGGTGTGGTAGCCCAGTGTTTCACTCTGTATTGACAAACTAGTAGTTAGTTCGTCATCCAGCATCTGACGAGAGGCCTGAAATAAAAGATATAGAGGTGAAGAAACAGAATTGACCACTTCTCAGAAGAAAGCTTCAGCTGAAATGCACAAACCGTGTGCTCACCTTCTCCAGCATCTTCTGCCACACCTGCCTCCACAGCATAATCACAATTATGGCTACAAGGATAAAGATAATGGCCACTAAACAGCCAATCAGAATGCGGGTGTTGCTGTCATCTACTTTGTGTGTGGGGTCATCTTCTGCAGTGAAACAGAGAGAGAGGCAAGAGTTGAA